AAGAGAAAAATATCTGAATCGCTGGCAACATGTTTTATAATAGAAAGTTTGCATCCATGCCGAAGCCCACGGGTGAGGACCTATCGGGTGTGTAAATAGTATAAGTAATATATGATCATGATTACATTAATAATTATAGAAATGTGATACGAGTAATTATTTCCCATCTCTTTATCACATGTCTCGTCACGTATTCTCTTTGTTCCAAATTATAAGATATTTTAGCTTTTCTATATACATAGCTTTTGCTATGTATTTAGATATACATTGTGTCTAGATACATAGCAAAAGAAATGTATCTAAAAAAAAGCCAAAACATCTTATAATTCGGAACGAACGAAGTAGCAAATAATTATACAAGTTCTTAATAAAATGAATTAAAAATCTAAGGCCTAGTACCAAGCATATTGTTGGTAACTGGACGCGTGATACTTAGTTACTTAGGGTGACCCTTATATTTCAGGCCCCTACATCCACGACGCGATTTGATGCCTGCATTATTGACCACTCATTCATCTCGGACCCAACCTGATGAGGTCCATTGAGGTCCATTGTGTGATTTGGCATCCGTGCACCGTGCCCTCACCCTAGCAGGTGCTGCGTCCACGATTTCAACCGCCATCCCTACTACTTGTTCCATGGTCTCATGTATGTCTAAATTATAAGTTGTTTAATTTTTTAGATACATATTTTTTATTATACACTTAGATATCTATTATGTCTAAATACATAATAAACACTTATCTCTAAAAAAGCTAGGATAGAATTCAGAATGGAGAGAGTATGTCTTAAACTCTGAAAATACCATCTCAGATCCCGAGCTTGCCATATGATGTCATCCATATTCTGAGTTCTCAAAATGAGATTTTTCAGGTCACATTCATCTAGCCCCCCAAACTTAGGCTCGCCCCCAAGATTTGCGTTCACCTGAACCTCCAGTTTCACAACTATTGAGAGCTTCTCCAACGCACCACCTTGGACTACTGCCACAGCCTCCATACTTATTTTCGAAGTCACATCACGTGAGTAGTAGTCTCGCAGCATGACAGAGATTTTTGCATAAGAGTCGATGGCTCCATCTGATAAAAGTTGAAGCATTTTTTGTGCACGCGTTGCAGCAAGAAGGGAGCTGCCTTTTTTCGATCAATTCGGAGGGGCAAAGCCCCACCTACTTTTATATTGGAGAAGGGAGCTGCCTTCATTGTCCCTAAGAAAATAAAACAGAGTACTTGCACTAGTGAAGAAAATAAAGTTGTTCACTTCCGTTAGACCAGGGGAGGTCCCTCCGTTCGGATTTTTGAGAGCTCTACCTTTTTTTTCTACGATTAGTACTGCTGCTTTTGGCTGAGGCTAACACGTTGGCGAAGCCCTGAGCAGCCCGGCCCAAACCAGTGTGCCACGCAACGCTGTGGGACCCGGTGATGGAGGATGATGGTTGTCCGAGGTGGCAGCTCCGCACCTCCAGAATCCAGTGCCGCGCCCCGATTGGGCGGAGGCAAATCCAGAAATCTCCGCCTCACATCCGCCGCTCCAATCGCCGCTCGCTTCTTCCCTGGCAACAAAAACACTTGTGCTACAAATACGTCCACGTAACCCCTCTCCAAGCCTTAGCACTCCACGGTTTCAAAAAAGAAAAAGCTAGCTTAGCTTTGCTCGCCAGACAAACCGGAGCTAGCAGAGCTGCAGCAGATGATGGCGTCGACGATCATGGCCGCCACCTCCCGCGTCGTCGCGGCCAAGACGCCGTTCCTCGGCCAGGGCCGCGCCGCCGCCAATGCCAGCCCACTCCGCGACGTCGCCGCCACCGCCAGCGGCCGGATCACCATGGTACGTAACGTACGCCGAGGTGGTCCATCCATGGCACGTTGGTTTCAATCAATCCGGTAATCAACTAACGAGAGCTCGTTTCGTTTCCATCGCAGGGCAACGACCTGTGGTACGGCCCGGACCGCGTCAAGTACCTGGGCCCCTTCTCCGCGCAGACGCCGTCGTACCTCACCGGCGAGTTCCCCGGCGACTACGGGTGGGACACCGCCGGGCTGTCGGCGGACCCGGAGGCGTTCGCGCGGAACAGGGCGCTGGAGGTGATCCACGGGCGGTGGGCGATGCTGGGGGCGCTGGGCTGCATCACCCCTGAGGTCCTCGAGAAGTGGGTGCGCGTGGACTTCAAGGAGCCCGTGTGGTTCAAGGCCGGCGCGCAGATCTTCTCCGAGGGCGGGCTGGACTACCTCGGCAACCCCAACCTGGTGCACGCGCAGAGCATCCTCGCCGTTCTGGGGTTCCAGGTCATCCTCATGGGCCTCGTCGAGGGCTTCCGCATCAACGGCCTCGACGGCGTCGGCGAGGGCAACAACCTCTACCCCGGCGGCCAGTACTTCGACCCGCTGGGCCTCGCCGACGACCCCGTCACCTTCGCCGAGCTCAAGGTCAAGGAGATCAAGAACGGCCGCCTCGCCATGTTCTCCATGTTCGGCTTCTTCGTCCAGGCCATCGTCACCGGCAAGGGGCCCCTCGAGAACCTGCTCGACCACCTCGACGACCCCGTCGCCAACAACGCCTGGGTGTACGCCACCAAGTTCGCGCCAGGGTCTTAAGCTAGCCGGACACGGCGGCGTGCCGGGACATTGTAGACTACTCGTTTGTGTTGTGACATTACATGTGTACCATGAACGAATGCAAATATTCTTGTGCTCTCTCAGAACTCAGGAACGTACTGGACAAGGTTTGGTCTTCCATTCCATCCATCTATGCTCCGTTTTAGTTGTTAACTGATTCGGTGTGTCAATATATGTAGTTGTGTCTACATTTTTTTTTGTTAACAAACACAAGCTGTCCGGAATTAGTGCAGAATTCAGAGGCTGCTAATTACAATAGTCATATTTCCAAACTGTGTACTTAGGTATCCCTGTGTCAGATGCACATTTGGGGATTAAGGCTATGAAAGGGGTCCCAGAGAAGCTGAGGAAAAGATTGCAACTTGGAAAGGAAGAAAGATGACATCTGGTGGGATTGATATTAACAAACACTTCCTTGAGTAGTTTGCCAATTTATGCAATGGAGATATATCAGCTTCAGGAGGGTGTTCACCAACAGATGGATTCTATAAGGGCAAATTTCTTCTGGCAAGGGGCCAATGAAAAATTGAAATTTCATATGGTAAAATGGAGAAATTTGTGTTTGCCTAAAGGGTTCGGGGGATTAGGAATTATATGGAGACTAGGACTATGAATGAGGCACTTATTTGAAAATGGGGATTGAGAATGTTGCAGGCTGATAAAGGGGATCAATGTTTTAGTCTGTTATAGAAGAAATATCTGGGCAGACATCCTTTTCTACAATGTGGGAGGGAGACAGGTTCACAATTTTGGAAGGGTGTTTTGAAATCTAGAAATATGTTGAAATGGGGCTGTCATGCTAAGGTGAATAACGACCGAAGCACTAGATTTTGGGAAGGGATATGGGTTGGAAATACACCTTTAAGGCTGGGCAGAGATTGTTTAATATGTGACTGCTGGGAGGGAGATGGTTGGAACATAAACTTTAGAAGGGCTTTAGGGGAGGTTGACATGAGAGAATGGGAAAGATTAATGAATATCTTAGAGGAATATAGATTAAATGGGGGGATGATCAGTTTGTTTGGATACTGGATAAGTCAGGAAACTATACTACAAGATCCATGTACAGAAGACTAATTTTCAGGGGCGGTCTTATATAAAAAGAATGATAAAGCTGTGGAAGAGAAGATTACCAAATAAGATCAAGGTGTTTATATGGTTGGCTGTCCAAGATAGACTTCAAACAGGGGTGAATCTCAAGAAAAGAGAATGGAAATGGAACAAAAAATGTTGTCTTTGTGGGGTGAATGAGAACAGATTACATTTTCTTCCATTGTCATATTACAAGAGTAGTCTAGTTCTGTTTTAAGGAGGCTTTAGGATGGGATAGGATGCCTTCTAGTTTGCAAGATGTTTTTGACAAATGGATTCCTTTGGGAGGGAATAACTATCATATAAAACTTTTCATGCTGGTTATTATCCTTTAGGGTTTGTGGAATGTAAGAAATAAGATGGGGATAGAGAAAAAGTTTGAGTCATCTAACAAAGTTTTTTTTTACAAAATATTTGGTTTTGCTTAGAAGCGGCAAGTTCTTTTGAAGGAGCACAATGCCAAGCAGTTGGACGACAAGGTAAAGCAGATAAGAAGTTGGTTGATGAACTTCTGGAAGCGAATTGAAGACTTGGAAGTGGAAGGGGTGATTTGAGTTTTTTTTGTGACTAGTCTGTGGATGGTTTACTTGCATTCTGAAGCCTGTTTCTTTGTGCTCTATGTAGATTGGTGGTAGCTTACTAGCTTTGGGTTGAACTCTGGCCGGTTTCAAGTTTGTTTCTCTTCTTTTGTGCGTTTGCTTGTAAGCTGGTACTCCACTATCCAGCATGTGTTGGTGTGTGTTTGTACTGCAGTACTGGTGACACTGTGCTCTCTTTAAAAGCTGGATTTATCTCTGTAAAAAAAATGCCCTGTTAGTGTAGAGACCTCAAATGATAGTGCAGAATATGGCGTGATGCGAGCACAGTTTTCAGAGTAAAATGCCTTGCACATTTCAACAATTTTCTTACTGTACACATCTTACAATACTCTGCTTTCGCATCTCTATTCTCTCATGGTGGATAATCTGTATTTAGTTACCCTTCCACACCTCAGATTTATCACTCTACATACACGATGACATACATACACTGTCAAGTGACAACTCGGAACTAATTAATATACAAGTACAGAACTCTGGCTTCACCTATTGGCTAATTTGATCTTTCTGACACTCGCAACATCAAACGAGTAACAGCACCGCCACCAACAATGGAGTTCATCATCATCTCACCAGGCTTTTGCGATGAAAAAAAAACCTGAGGCAGATTCTTCTCGCCTGCCCTGGCAGGCATTCTTGGTCACTTTCCTTGACCTAGTGGTGGAAAAATGTTGTGGGGATTCTCTCACATGTATCACTTCGAGCTCTTCTTTCCCCACCATCTTTTCCGCGATTTCTCATCATGGGTGCCAACCTTATTAAGGTTTACCTTCGTCTCCTTCAACCGAGATTTGTAGTCTTTTTTCCATGTCGCAAAGCGGTCCTTGAGCTTCCGGAGTTCCTCGTCTGGGTTCATATTTGAACCAACCTGACCGGACTTGACTGCAACAAGGAAGCCTGCATCATCTTCGAACACCTGCCGTCTGTCTTCAAACTCCTTTGCTAGGTGGTTCACAGCATTTACTCGCCTATCCGAGTTTCCTGCTGAAACTTTAGCTTCAGGGTTGTGGTTGTGGTGTCTCGACTCTATCACTTCAGGTGTATGGGTCCCAGTGGACAATGTGTCTTCAGAGTCATACTGGGCATGTGTTGGAGTAAAATCAGTACGAGCGGCTCTAGTGGTTGCATCATCAGCAACTAGGCTCTTCTTAGCAGCAACAAGGCTCAGCTGAAAGGAATAAATAGGAACAAATCCAAATGAATATGTCTTCTGAAGGATAATTAAAAAGAAAACTCAAGCCACATAATTATATAAAAGAATATTTAATTGCTCTCTCTTTTCCCTTTTTGTTGGAGGCTCATGTTGGTTTTCAACTATAGTCTACCCCAACTTGCTTGGGACTAAAAGGCTTTGTTGTTGCTGTGTATTTCCTGACAGATAAACTTGCTTGGGACTAAAAGGCTTTGTTGTTGCTGTGTATTTCCTGACAGATCAGCCATCTGGCTTCTATGCTAGACAGGTACCATAAAATTCAATATCAGAGCAATTGTTCATTATTTCGTTTAACACACCATTAGAAAATTTCTTGAATATTTTCGTATGTCATCCCATGAGGAGGTTATGTTGCAGTCTGTCATTCTTAAACAGATGAATTCATGTTACAAGATTATATTGATCCATTCTTTGAACATACAAGCAAACATACAAATAATCAACTAGATAATTACCTGCAGAGAAGAGAGCTGTCTCTTCCATGCCTCTTCCATAGATTTCATTTTGGCCTCATATTCCGACCATTTCCTCTCATACTGTTCCAATTGCCGTTTTAGCATTACATTTTCTTCCTCCTTGTCCCGCAATGCAGCCTCAGCTTTTGTAATACAACCCTGAAGCTCAGTGATGACTGGTTCGTGAGGATAATGCCCATTCATTTCCTGCCATTGGATGCCAATGTTATGCTATACCTTTTACACCAATGTATTAGACAGCTGAACAGATTCTATATCTTGTACAGGGAGAACTTCTCAAGTTCTTTAGAATACAGTTGGATATCACAATAACAGAAATTTCAGTAAACTTAGTAAGTAACCATGCTTATGCAAATTCCAGATGAAGATTGTCTATTAGCATTAGCGGTAGCAGATCTTTCACATTATATGTACTTCTCATTCAGTACTGGATGAAACCAATATGCAGCTAGCACATTAGAAGATTGGAACAGATAAAAGTATAGATATCCTTTGGTATAAAACTCACATGGCAAATTCTTGACTCGGAATTATTCTTCCTTGTGTCCCCTTGAACTATGTTGTGACTGGCCTTTGACTCCTTTTCATTCTGCAGGCACTTGTATTTCCTTCTGGCCAGGCACCCACGCATCACTGCAGTAACATATGACAGCACATGATTAGATAGATGCAGATGCACTACTCTAGGGTAATGTTAATATGCCCTCTTTTATTTTATCATATAAATTACCAGACTGAAGAAGAATGATATGACTCAGTTGATCATTAAACATGTTAGCTGCAAGTCGACGCCTAGTGTACTTCTGTATGAGAATAGCTGCCCTCCATCTCTTGACAAGATTATCAAAGTGTATTCTTGCTCTTTCACCGCGTATAACTGCAGTTTGGAAAACAGGAAGAGTATGATAGACGTTCATATATTATTAGAATTCAGGAATGTTTTGAACAAAAAGAAATGAGGTGTATTACATGATTGCAAATTCATTGCCCCTTTCTTTAGTCGTTGATATCCCTGTCGAGAATGCAAACCCCGGAGGTGCTTCTGAATACGGAGGGTTCCATGAAGCATCTGTCTTTTAGCATTTTCCAGTGCAGCAACCTACAGAATAATCAAGATTAGAAACCGCACTCAAAAAAGAGCAGTTGTGATCGCAAGCTAAACCAAACTATAAGGGCAAGGGCAATGTTGGAAGTTCAAAATAGCATTAAAGTAGGGCCCACAGAAAACAAGCATTTGTTGTTTCCATCTGCAGAAGATGAACACTAAGGTGGTACCACGCTCCAAAAAAGATGCTTAACTTTCTGTGAGCGATAAACATAGGGCAAAGAGAGACACTAATTGTTTTTTTGCTATGGTCTACTGCACAATGTATCCAATGCATCATAGGAGTGTATTTATGGCTTAAGGTCACCTTTTCACTCACATTGTGGCTGCCCTAAAACTTTTGTATGCTAGTGCAGCTCAGCAGCTGGTTGAGGGTCTACTCTAGGATTTAAAATATTAGAACTTGGAATAGTCGACTTATTGTACCTGTCCTGTACGGAAAAACAATTTTGTGTAGCCAACTTGATACATTTCGGGGGGAATGTTCAACTGTTGCAAAACAGCAATTGAAACACTAAGTGGATCTTGAGATGCAATGGAACGCAAGAGAAGAAATCCATATCTGCATATTATTGAACAAATCGTAAGTCAAGTGGCACACAGTATCAAACAAATAAACAAGTACATTTTTGAAGTCAGATTCTATGAAATAGCAACCTTTCAGCAAACTGTTGGTGAGTGATACTAATTGGATAGCATGTTCTTGATATCCGAACAACTTCAAGCACCCCACAGCATTTAAGCTGGTGCAAGACAAGATCATGCTCGAATAACCTGGGATGTTGTTTGCTATTTGGTTGAATGCATCGAATAAAATGTGGGGTTGTACTCTCCAACTGCTGCATCAGCTTGAACAGTTGAGCCTGAATACACAACAGAGCATTGGGATCGCTAAATACAACTTTATATAAGAATGACACGGAAAGGCATTAAGGTATTATGAAACAAAGAACTAAAAGAACTACCAAGAAACTGAATACAACTTATACAACCCAAAGCATAGATATCTAGAGAACCATTTTCGACAATATTATCTGTAAAGATAAAAGAATGAAAGATTTGAACCAGTACCTTAAATTTTGTGACAACACTTTGTTTCTGTGTATCCATTACTGAATGCCATGACAGACTTGATTTATTCTGAGAATCAGCAACCATGACAGAGGCAAAATGTTTTGGAAGTTCACATTTACATGATGATAGTAGTTGGATTGACTCAGAGTGCAATGGATCTCTGTTCTTCTCCAGGAACCCAGCTGTATCATATGTCACCTGGAATCAAAATCAGGACTGTTATCATGTTGCATATAGAAGAGCTTCAACAGCAAATTATCATAACCGACAATTGAATGGGCAAGCTTGCAGATCTGGAGGATATTGGAGATTAGAAATAGCTTAAAGATAAAACAAGACGAGGATTGACCAACCTCCCCTGCATAATGGCAAATCTTAAATGTGCCTTCTTTTTCACCCTTGAAGCAAGAGTTACCACTTAATTGCTGCTTAAGCTTGTTAGCAAAGGAAAAGTCTGTTGCCTTTGGGAAAGTAGACTCTTCATCCAATAATGACAATAGCCCTAGAGGTTTCTGCAATGTAACAAAAAGGTGAGTACAGTAGTACATATACAGATCTTACAAATTTAAATAGTAAAACTTATAATATTAATATGACATGATATCATGATAATGGCACATTTTTCTTCAGTGATTCCACTTAAACATTAATAATTACAGTCACTTTCTGATCTATAGTTCTCTTATAGTCTTATCTATAGAACAAAACATGGAGTAACTCCACTTAAGGATATTTCCATCTGTTCCAACTTTTGTTTCTCATTTTATATAGGGAGGTGCTCGTTTCTGCTGTAATAAGCCTCAAAAACTAAGGCATTCTAGTAACTTCGGCATAACTGAAAAGGCAAAGCACAACAGATTTGCAGATCAAGATAATTAGAAGGGCAATAACCTGTATATACTACAAGAAAAGGATTGGAACCAGAAAGCATATGAGAATGGGGCCAAACAGCCATAGAAGCCTAAAGTGCAGGCATTGTTTCTTCAGCACATGCCAGGTAAGCAATTACAATACATATGTTTATCGATATCAAGCTCAAAAATTATTTAAACTACACATAGAAACAGTGAATATATGATCCATATGTAACGGGGTTGCATGAAAAAAATGTTGCATACCTTCTCAAAGAGGGATAAGCAATTAGTGTTATCCACAAATTCCACGGGGGTCCAATCAATTCCGTCTTCCAAGTATTCCTGGAAGTGGAACAAAGCCAGCATGAGCATATTGATACACTGACACAGAAGGTCCAAGGAAAATATTGCAGGAGCAGAAACATGGAAACAAGGGAAGCCGCTCTACAATTTTATGAAAAGAAAGATAATGCTGGCTAATGGATCCAAAAGCAAACGAGCAGGTCATGTGCACAGTGGACACCAGAACAAATAAGATAACCAGAGTTCAAACAGAACTGGAACTAGTATCAGGGCCTTGCCGGCAAATCAGAAACCAGTTGCTTCTTGTGGTTTTCTAGGTTTTTGTGTTTTATAGAATAACTTTTTTCTGACTTCTCCTTTGATAATCACTAAATGTCAACATTTTCACAAAGGTTTCCATAACAATAAGTTGGGTAACTGATCATAACTAACAACCACTTGGATTTGGAATCCTGGTGCCAGCTACAAGACATCCAAGTGGTTTCTGTCCCCAGAAGCACAGAATCACTCAAAAGGCAAACCACAAAATAAATAATATTCAGATCACATCGGACCATTCATATCTAACTCAGGTTAGACAGAGCAACTTCAGCATGTGACCACATCCCCTAGTTATGACAAGTGGCAAAGTTTGCAGGGTCGTTTACATCTTTAGTACACAACAACGTAACCTGATACTGTTTTGCACGAAGAAATCATGCATAATACAATTCACATTCATTCATATCTTTGATGCTAACATAAATAATGCAAGGAACTGCTAGAATCTTACCTCCTGTTGTAGTTTGAAAAGATGTCGGTTGAAGTGCTGCTGCAGCCTCTCATTGGCATAATTTATACAAAATTGCTCAAAACCATTCTTCTGTAATGGTTTAACCAAATGTTACAACTGAGCAAATGCCAAGTAAATCAGTACTAAATAAAATGCAAATATTCCATACATTGAAACACTCGAACCCAAAAATATCCAAAATACTTATGGATCTCCATGTAAATTGCCTCCCCGTTCCAAGTGAGTGGTTAATTTGCTCAACAATCCAGTCAAATAAATTGGCGTAGATTGACTTTGCTAGTGCATCTCTTGCGTCAATGGCCTACAGAAATTAGAAATCTTGAATAAAATTTTAAAAGATCAAATCAATAGACCCATGCAGAGGATACTACATACTTGAGTTAATGTCAGCTTTTTAACGATACTGTCATTTCCAGCTCGGATTTTACGAGTGGACGTAGCAGTCACTAGTTGATTTGCAGTGCAGCCTAATAGCTTTGCAGCAGTAGCCAACCCTGTGAATACATTACACAATCAAATGTCTGCATTTTGGGGACATTTTCTACTGGATAAGGCAAAGAAATAAATGGAAATTATATACACCGGGAATTATACCTTCGTTTGAAACAACTTCCACATGGTTTTCATTATCAATCACAGAGAATGATATGTTTCCCAGCCACAAGACAGCTGCAAGCATAGAAAATAATTTCATTTGGTCTTCCTTAGATATTTGAATAGTATCCAATGCATCCTGCACATGAAACAAAGGATAAATAACAAATAAGATAAAATACTAGCACAGCTTTGGTTGGAGAAGTTAGTTGGATTTTCCAGTAACATTACCACTAGCACTGTGAATTTCTTTGAATCGTCAACACCATCGATTTTCAAGCAATTACTCTGCTTCAAGTAATTGTAGTCACTGGCGCTTTTCAGAAACAATTTTTCTGCAGTAGCATGTGCATGTAGCAGAATTAGGAAGTGAGAAAAAGAGAGGGAAGATGAAGATAGTTTCACAGATCACGCTGAAACGTATAAGATGTAATACAGGCAGAATGTGCCACACAATTTTCTTGACAGAAGCACCATTTGAAACACTTAAATTGTAATATAAGCACATCAAACATGAAGGTATGGTTACTTTTGAGAAGGGGAGGAGCTCCAGAGCATAGTTGATAGAAAATATGGTAAGATCTCTCGCCTTGTGCCCTTTGAACCACCCTCGACTACAGGGGAAGACAGAGCATATTAGACCTTGCAGAAATAATAAAATATGGATTTGTTAGCAATGCATGAATTCCCTTACCTTCTCAAGCAGGACTGGCCCATGGGATTCAGTAAGAGGTACATGCACAGCCAAGGAAATAAGTTAACAGGGAGTTCAAAGATATTGTGACTAGCCATCCAAACAATAAATGGTAGAGAAGGCTTACAGGTCTGGATTTTGGCACCACACATTTTCCCAGTTTCAGAAAAGTGTATTTCAATAAGCTTGCCCTACATCAAAATCATCACAGCACCATAAGAATCACTCCAGAAAATTAGCGGAGGACAGTATGGCAACGATACAGGAAGATAAACTCACAAATCGGCTCGAATTATGGTTTCGTGATGTTTTTGCATTCCCCAATGCTTCCAGAATAACATTGGTCTGAAGAACCTCAGACTCCGTACCACTAGCACCCCCAAGATCAGACAAATATTGCATTGCAATTTTAGCCGTCTCAGTTTTTCCTGCTCCACTTTCACCACTGAAATGTGACAAGGAGCACAGATAGCATATTTAAATTTGGTAATCCAGACCCCCAGGGTTTAAGAGAAAGAAGATAAGGCATACTAACCTTATTATTATAGATTGGTTTATGCCATCTGCAGAGTATCAGGAGTTGCATTAAAAGACAGTTCTTGAAAAATATTATAAACCATAACTTTTCTCTTTAGCACCTACCTCGCAGCATCTCATTAAATGCCAAATCAGCAACTGCATACACATGTGGGTCATCGTTGGTCTTTTGCTTGTATTGCATGATTGAGGACCTCCCATAGAGTGCAACTTCTTTTAATGGATTGACAGCAATCAGAACAGGTCCTGCCTTTGTCTACAAAGTAAAGTATATACAAGTGAGGATACCTAGAGTAAGCCATATATATACTCTTATATAGCACGATGAAACTATTGCATAGTGCTTACATAGATAAGATCGCGAGAATATCGCAATTGCAGATTGTAAAGAACTGAAGGTTCATTCAAGTAACTCATCTGGATTAAATCATCCACTCCATCAAGGATATCAGGGTTGGCAGGCAAGAGTTGTTCTGGTGACACTGTCAAAACCTAAGCAAATAAACATTGAGTAAGCATTGTACAGGAGTTTCCCCAAATGACTATATCGCCATGGCAATATAAGACACTCACTTTTCCATTAGCCAGGAGTATTTCAGCATCATTTCCAGATATTGATTGGATCTGTCCAAGTTCCCACTTTGCATTTGGTGAAGAACACCAAACTCGTAGCTTCTGAAAAACGTCCAAAAACTATTATCTCGTATGGTTCTTCCTATCACAATATAAATTCAGAAATATCAAACTCGAACCATCAAGGGATAAGAGAACTAGTTCCTTGAGACCTATACTGCTGTAAGAAACAACACTTTCTGATTGTCCAGTATCCATAGATCCTAAGGTTAAAAACAACAGGTTCTTTCACCCGATATCCACACTTATAAGGTTTAAAGTAACATGACATGCCAAACTATTTGTGGATGTAATAAACAAACTGACCAAAACAAGTCTGAAATGTGAGATCAGGAAAAATCATTAAAGCGGTCACTAACTGTATCTTCTGGTAAATGTGAAACAACAGTAAGTTCAGCATATCCCAAACATAACTGTGATTTCACATGAAAGTCTTATTCACACATATCATAAAGAAACAATCTTTAAGAAAAAGGGGTCTATAAATTCAGCATATAACAAACACATGTAAGCGACACTTTGATCAACATTTCCTGTTTTGACTCATGAATGATATTTCGTCATCATGTTACACTAAGTATTCAGGTTACTTCCATTTGTTCACATTGCAATAATAGAAATAATTCTTACAAATTCCACAATGAACAAGCCTCTTACCTTCTGGAGAACATAGTCCATGATATCTGTACATGCTGGTTTCCCATTCATCTTTACTGTTGCCGACGAAACCGAGGGGGGATCCTTACAAACTGTTGTACCCTTCCTCTCCTCATGAAACTTATCAACATATGGCGACTCCTCCAGTGCTTCTGCATTAGCGAACTTCCTCTTAGCCCCAAAGATGGAGACTTTCACCGGCTTTTCCTCCTTGGCCTCCAGCCCAGAAATCTCCTTAGCATCTGCCTTCTTGTCAACCACTGCAGCTTCTGTGGCAGCAACTGTCGCCATGCCATTCTCGAGCTTAAAGCCAGCAGGCAGTGACGGTCGCCTGGTGGTGGGCAGCCGGCCACGGCACGTCGGCCGGGCTGGCAATGTTGGAGGCGCATCCTTGGGCTGCTCATCGCGCTTCTTTAGGGTCTCAAGCAACACCTCAAGGGAGCTCTTCTGTGTGGCAGCTGCCGGCGCCATCACTGCGGCCGCAGAGAGCATCACCACCGGGAAATCAAAAGGCCACCAGCACAGACCGGTGATTTATACCAGGGCTCAAACACCAACTCGCCAAATCCAATAGCCGGACAGCACAGGGACCAGAAATTTCCCCATTGCGCATCAAAACGGGCGATAACTTCAGAGGAAATGGCCCCTAACTCGCCAAGTGCTTGAAACTGGCAACCCCCAGACCCCAAATTCCACACCAAGACTCAAAATTCTCCAGAAATCTCTCAAAAATCCAGGTTCTGAAGCTCAACTAAGCGGCAATCGCACGCCCAAGGAAAATATTCGGCGCTACCCGCAGCACGGGGCCAGGTAAAACCCCCACCCTATGCGCGATTTTTGAAGGGGAAATAGCCGGGCCAAGGTTGGAATCGGCCGGAGAAGAAAAGGCTGCGGCTGCGAAAGCTGCAATCTTTGGCCAAAAGAAAGGCGAAAGAACCCGAAACCAAAGCAAAGCCTCTGCCGAATCAAAGCGCTGGCGTACTAGCAGCAGCAGCAGCACACGCAGGTGGCCACGAAATCATCACCAGAGAAACAGGATAATTCCCCGCACCGCACGGCCGCACCGCACACCCCCTCTGCCTCGCCGCTGCAAGAACCAACAGCGAGCCTGCCCACTCCGAACCGCCGCTCCCCCAAATCGAAAACGGAAACAGGCAAGAACAAAACCGAGATTTTTTTTTTTTTTCTAGAGGCTTTTGCTTCTCCCTCACATTTCAAATCTCACCGCTCCCTCGTCCCCATATCTCCGTGTCTTTTTCTCCCTGCCCCCCTTGATCCGTTACTAGACAGTGGAAAAAAAAAGTTTAGGACAAAGCAAGCCAAATGACGCCTGTACCCTCGCGCCCCCTCGCTACGCGTGGCCAGTGGTGTTTTCGTGAATCCCGCGGCAGATGGAGGGCTGGTTCATGGACGGGCATCGCGGGATGGGGAGACGCGGTTGGGACCGTTGGATGCGAGCGGCTGCCGCTAGAAGGTTTCAGTTGGGGATGGGAAGTTACGCAACTACCCCCCAGAGGTTAGTGTGCTGGCACGTCGTCATTTGGGCTCTTTGAAAACAGATCCTATTTGGATGTTGTTAATCTTGTTTGGATGTTGTGAAAAAAGAAAGAGGTGATGGAGATTTTATATCCGGAAGGAGAAAAATATTGTGGGAGAGAAGCTTCTGTTAGGCAGGTCTCCGTTTTCTTTGTGCCTGTGTGGTATGGTCAACGGGGAGTCGAGAAAGACCCACGTATGATGGAGTATAATGTCCATTTGGAATACATAAATTTTATAAAATTTGTATACAATACAATTTTAGTGGAATCAGATTAATTTTACAGGAAAATATAGAAATGAAAAAATACTCACATTCTAAGCAGGACTTATAAATTTATTTCTGTAATTGAATTCTCCTGTTGATGTATAAATGTTTTTCCCTAAAAAGTAGTGTTTTGTATTTGGTCGATACGATGGTATAAGTGTTTGTTAATGTTTTTGTATTTGCTGCCGCTGGTACTTTTGTTGACAGGCTTTTGTTTAGTGCCAGAGTTTGCAAAGCTCTATGAGCTAGGATAGTGTGCGTATGGATTGACTAAACGAAAATTTTCCATCAAAGCGTGGAACTCTCAATCCGTCAAGCCGACGCTAGAGTTTGGATGTAGTAGTAGCTGCTCCCTCCGGTTACAAATTACTCCCTCCATCCCAAATTATAAGTCATTTCAAGAATCTTAGAGAGTCAAATTTTTTCAAGTTTAACTAAAATTATAGAGAGAAACATAAAGATTGATGACATCAAATAGGTATAATATGAAAATATAACTAATGAAGAATCTAATGATACTTACTGGTTATGATAAATATTATTATTTTGTTATATAAATTTGGTCAAACTTGAAAAACTTTAACTCTCCAAGATTTTTGGAATGACTTACAATTTGGGATGGAGGGAGTATTTCGTATTTAGTCATTATTTTTTGTTGTACTCCATCCATTCGCAAATGTATGGACTTTTAAGATTTTGAGGCCAAATTAATCGAGAGCGAATAGTCTTTACGCTACTGATTAAAGCTGTCCGGTCACCTCCTGACTGGCGCAACCAATAGTGCTCAGGACAGTTCCTAAATCCAACTGTAATTGACTAGTCTAAATATGAAAAGTTCTCATATTTATGGACGGTGGGGTAGAATACAGTTATAATAAACTAGTAATAAATAATGAAAGCATTTACCAAGAGTTCAAGAAAAATTGATACATATAATTCTTATGTTCTTCAAACTAAATATCTTAGAAACTTCCTATGATTAAAGTTTGAAAAGTTTTCAAATTAAATATTTATAAACAGAGAGAATACTTTCAAACCTTCAGATCTGGTTTGGCTGGGAAATCGATGTCGCTAGATTTACGCGAACTCTACGAGGACGCAAAGGAATTTACCAACTTAGGCCCTGTTTAGTTGGGCTTTTTAACATGTTTTAGCTTTTTAAAAACAAATGCCAACCAAAGAGGTGGCTTCCACCTAAAGATTTTGGCTAGTACAAATTTCACAACACCCTCACCCCTACTTTCACCTGTCGTGGCTTCAAGTCTTCACGAAAATTACCCACCTACCATTGGTTATGCTCTATATCGGTACGTTTTTTTTCCCTTTCCCGTCCACGGCATCTCTTTCCCACCCAACTCTGCAGCTGCCTCAACGCGACGTCTTCCCCAACACGGCCAGCTCCCACGGGCGCGGTTAGCCCCTAGATAAGGCTGGATAACGAGCTGGCTCGGCTCGGCTCGGCTCGTTCTGGCTCGTTAAGATAACGAGCTAGCTCGGCTCGGCTCAAATTGCTCATTGTTGGTTTTGGTTTCAACCCCAAATCACCATCAACAATGTTTTCTCTCATAAAAACCAAAGACCACCAAATTTTAAACCATCATCAAGCACCAACCAATGAAAACAGGCCGTTATCCTAACGAGCGAAAAGCCACTTCGGCTCGGCTCGGCTCGTTAAAGCTCGAGTAGCTCGTTAAGCTCATGAGAGCGTATAAAAAATACACAAAATATAATATTTGCATTTATCTAAAGTTTGAGAATAATAATAATATAAAAGAAATGCATCTAGACCGTTACACGGTCAATTTATAGGGTCTAGACCAGCTATTACCGATCAATTATAAAGTGCAAGACATGAAGTAATACAAAAACTAATATAAGTTTTGATACTTTTTCACTGGAAGCTTGGCTCGTTTAGCTCATGAGCGCTCATGAAGTGGCCTTCGAGTTGGCTCGTTATAGCTAACGAGCTAAAATCTTAGCTCGAACGAGCCGAGCCGAGCCGAGTCGAGCCAGCCACGAGCCAAGTGAGCTAACTAGCTTCGAGTTTTTCGTCCAGCCTTACCCCTAGAGGAGAGGAAGCCTAGGTCCAGACTGAGGTGGCTCACACTGGCGGGCGGCGAGGATGCCGCCACAGCCAGCATCAAGCAGACAGGGAGATAAAAGGAGAGAAAAGCATGTGGAGATGGCGAACGGGAACGTGACGCCTCCTGCAACCGACAGCCGCCAAAAAGAGGCCTTTGGGAGCGCGGCGCTTCTTTGGGCGTGGGCCATGCCTTCGTCGCCATGCGCGGGCTCCACCGGGTGAGTGCGGGCAAGGCCCCCGCCGGCGCCCCTCGTCGAAGCACCACCCCTCACGCGGCCTCCTGCTCTCCGTGTGGATCCACGAACCAAGGAGGAAGAAGAAATACACAGTAAAAAATATACAATTTAGTGATTGACAGAAAGGGTCACATATGACATGTGAGGCCACCGACATCATTTTTTAGAAGCCATCATTGTGCAACCAAACGGCTTTTAATTTTTTCATAGCCCACGACTCACATCAGTTTTTTAATAGACCACAACTCACGTAAACTTTTTCAGAAATCATAGCTCAACCAAATAGGCCCAAAGGTTTTTCATATTTTTCTAGATTTATACTAAGATTTAGCAAATTTATCATTTTTATTTATGGTAGATACGAGATGATGATTTCGTCAACTATTCGGTAGCTCAGGTTTTTTAGGATTGTGTAGTACTCAATCCATCCCAAATTGTAAGACGTTTGACTTTTTTGACATCAAGTTTGACCACTCGTCTAATTAAAAATTTTGAGTAAAATATCACTTCTTTCGTCGTGGTTTGATTTATTAATAAAAATTCTTCAAGAATGACTTAAATTTGACTATATTTGCACAGATTTTTTGAATAAGACGAGTGGTCAAACTTGGAGAAAAAAAGTCAAACGTCTTACAATTTGGAATGGAGAGAGTAATTAAGAAAAGAAAGAGAAGCAGACAGGTTACGCGAAATGAACGGAAGAGGTCCTCTAATTAAAAATTAAAACTCCCTCTAAGCCTAATCGTAGAGCGCTGCATGCCGCGGGTGTCAAAAGCCTACTACTATTACACGACGCCGCGGCGGTACCAGCCTGCGTGCTGGTGCGGCAAAATTTTCCATGGCCGCCACCGCCCACCCGGGGTCCGGGGGCCGGGCGACGTACCACGGCTTTTACTGGACGTCGTGACGAGGAGCAAGGAACACGGTCTACCTCCAACGCGAGAGGGGAGGCGGAGCACGCGACGGCTAACAGCCTGTTCGGCTGGTACTAATACGATCATATACAATCGTGAATTATTGGTTTGGTATTTAAGAAAAATACGATTCAGTCAGAAATTTACGATCGTTTACGACCGAGAAAACAGGCGTAGAATTGGAACGGATAAGGGATAACGCCACGACGCTGCGAGCGAGACCCCTGGCGACCTTTCTTTTCTTTTCTTTTCTTTTCTGATAATAACTACCCCTGGCAACTTTAGCACGTACCGCCACCAAACGAAGGAAAAACGAGCCGAAACATACCTGCCGGCTGCCGGCTGCCGGCTGCAGTAACGCTGAAATTCCTGCCGGTCGCAGTACATTATTATTTTTCTCCTTTGGTTTATATACTGCACTAGTAGTACTCCGTAGTCCGTAGCTACTAGTGGAA